GAATGATGAATTTCATCCATTTTTGAAAATTTAACAAATTTAGAATCTTTAATTTTATCAAAAAATAATTTTAAGAAACTTGATTTTTCAAACTTAACAAAATTAGATTTAAATGGAAACAAAAATTTAGAATTTGTTGATTTATCTAATTGTAAATTAACATATTTAGATTTATCATTTACTAAAATTGGAAGCGAAACAATTAAAACATTTAAAAATAATCCAATTAAATTTTTAAATTTACAAAAAATTGAAAAAATTGGAATTGAAAATTGTTTTTCAATTATTAATGAAATTACAACAATAACAGAATTAAATGTTTCAAATTGTAAAATTAATTTATTACCAAAAAAGTGTCAATTAATTAATTTAAACAATTTTAATATTAGTAATAATTCATTAAATGACACGACTTTGGAATATTTTAAACAATTAACAAGAATTAGAAAATTAAATATTTATAGTAATAAGTTTAGTGATAATGGAAGAGATGAATTAAATAATAATTTTAAAAATATTGAAGAATTTATTTATTATTATAAAGATTTTAAATATATTTTTTAAATTATCTCCACAAGAACATTTTCCACACAATTCTCATAAGAGATTGATTATTATTGAATAAAAAGACATGGTGGCTAAATTTTTTCAGAATGATATTTTCTTCTCAGTTGCATCTGTATGAACTTGGTGAGACTCATTCTTAAATCTGATCCATAGCCAGCATTACTAATTTCAGGCTGATTTTTCAATCATCTCCCTTTCTTTTCGTTAATTTTTGGGAGGTTGTTCCAATAATCATTCTATTGTAGTAATTGATATTATAGTTTCAAGAGTCTTTACTTGCTGTTGGATTTAGCCGTAACTTGGCAAAGAATCACATACTTGATTTTTACTTCCGGAATTTCACACTCTCTTTTTATTGAGGAGGAATTGAGTTTACAAAACACGCAAACTAGGCATTGAGCGTTCGTTGGTTCAAAATCCTCACTCTGAATTTTCTCAACAAGGCTTGAGACAAAATGCGCTGAAAGAACTTGGCAAAAAAAATTTCAACAACATCAACACTCAACCACCACTACCACGAAGATGCTCAAGAGAATCCTGACTCCAAGAAATTTGAAGGCTTGTTCTTCAACAACAACAACACACAGACATAACACTTCAACTATTATAACAGCAACAACAACAATTAGCAAACGTTTCTTGAATACTGAATTAATAACCTGTAGTGAAAGGGCTTTCAATTGAATGAAGAACAATTACAATATCAACAATTAGCTAAAGATTTTTGTAACAAACATTTTCCATCACATGAAGTATCGGAATGGGATCGTAATAAAACATTCCCAGTTGATACATTACGTCAAGCAGCAGAATTAGGATTTGGTGGTATTTATGTATCAAGTGAATTTGGTGGTACAGGTTTAAGTAGACTTGATGCATCAATTATATTTGAACAATTAGCAATGGGTGATGTTTCAACAACAGCCTATTTAACTATTCATAATATGTGTTGTTGGATGATTGATCAATATGGTTCAATTAATCAAAAAGAGAAATATTTACCATCATTATGTAGTATGGAAACAATGTCAAGTTATTGTTTAACTGAACCTAATAGTGGTAGTGATGCTGGTTCATTGAGAACTATTGCACGTACATTGGATGGTGGTAAAACTTTTACATTGAGTGGTGAAAAGGCTTTCATTTCAGGTGGTGGAAATTCTGATGTTTATTTAATTATGGCAAGAGTTATGGATAATGATAAGGATTTGGGTATTACTTGTTTTATTGTTGAAAAGAATAGTGAAGGTTTATCATTTGGTAAGAATGAAATTAAGATGGGTTGGAATACTCAACCAACACGTGCTGTTATTATGGATTCAGTTAAAGTTACATCTGATAATATTTTAGGTAGTGTTGGTGAAGGTTTTAAAATTGCAATGCAAGGTCTTGATGGTGGTAGAATTAATATTGCAACTTGTAGTGTTGGTGGTGCTCAACAATGTTTAAATATGGCAGGTGAATATCTTCATACAAGAAAACAATTTGGAAAAACACTTTCAAATTTCCAATATTTACAATTTAAATTAGCTGATATGGCAACTAGAGTTCATGCTTCAAGATTAATGGTTAGATCTGCTGCAACTCAATTAGGTATTGAAAAATCTTCACATTCAACTGCTTTTTGTGCAATGGCTAAACGTTTTGCAACTGATGAATGTTTTGATGTTGTAAATGATTCTTTACAAATGTTTGGTGGATATGGTTATCTTAATGAATATGGTGTTGAAAGATATTTGCGTGATTTACGTGTTCATTGTATTTTAGAAGGTACAAATGAAGTTATGAGATTAATTACTTCACGTTATTATTTAAATTTATATAAGGATGGTGGTGTGAGTAATAATTAATTTATTGAAAATCAAAAGGTTGGTTCCTTTTCAACAAAACCTCAATAAAATTACATTTTTGATTTTAGATTACTGAATTCCAAAACACACAATTTCATAGCTTCCTTCTAGATTTCAAAGAAGGATTTAATCTCTGTATCTTAATTCTTTAATTGTTCCAATTTTAAATGGAATTTGAAAAAAAATGTTTAGCCTTCCAGATGGAGACGATGATGAATCATCCATTGGCTCACCTTCATCACCTCCAATATCTACATTGGCATGCTTAGACTCTCCAATTAATTCACCATCACCTCCAATGTCTCCAATTATTACCTTTAAATCTTCATCATCACTAAATAATAATACAAAAAACAAAAAGGCTTTGAATTCTCCACCCTCTCGGAAAACTAGTAAATCGAATATTATTAATAATCAACACCAATATAACAACAGCATACAAGAGGCTAACAAGAAGAATAGTAATGATAAAAATGATAATGTACATTATAATGTAAATCTGACACAAAATAAGTGGAGTAAATTATTACAAAGTAATATTGATATTCAACAAACACAACAAGATATGAAAAGATCTTTTATTAGAGGAGGAGGTGGTAAAACAAATTCATTCAATCATAATAGTAATAATAGTAATAATAATAATAATAATATGAAAAGAAAGAAGGAATATTCAAAGAATGATGATGAAGATGATTTAATTAGTCCATTGAAATATTTAGAAGATATTCAATTTTCTCAAATTCCTTCTTCTTTAATGACTTCAAATCAATCATCAAATAACAATGAATTAAAATTAGATTTAAATGATCAAGATATGAATGATTCATTTCTAAATGATGATTTTTCATTAGATGATATTAGTAATGAAGAAATTGCAAAACTTCAAACAAAATCAAATGAAAATACTAAAAATAGTAATAATATTTTTTTATCAAAATTTAAAATTACACCAGATAAGAAAAAATCACCAAATTTAAATTCAACAAAATCATCCTCATCTACTACACCTACATCTAATAATTCAACAACACCTGAACAATCATCAATTGAAAAGAAACCTAAACAAGTTTTTAAAATTAAAAATAATGCTGATAGAAAATCAATGGAAAGATCAAAAAACAAATTTGAAAATTGGTTAAAAACAAGTAATTCAACTAGTCCTGATAAAACTCATCAAATTTTGGATGAAAATAGTGAACATTTAAATCAAGAATCAAATCATTGTAATGATAATAATAGTAATGATAATGTGTTGGAACAGAACGATGGAGAGAAAATTACTGATAAAAATGTAAATAATAATGAAAATGTTAATATGGAAATTAGTAATGATAATGAAAATAATCAAAAAAAAAGAAAATTAATTACAAAAGGAACTTTAACAATTAAGAAAAAGAAGACTAGTAGTAGTAATAATGAAAATATTACAACAACAAATCAACAAGATAATACTACATTATCTAATATACCAATGACTACATCCACTACAAATAGTCATCAAGATGATGAATCAATAACAACAAGTACAATTGTAACGGAAGATAAATCAGAAAAGATAATTAAAAAGAAATCAAATCATGATAAAACCAAATCTAAAAAATCTAAAATTGAAAAAATTAAAATATATGAAAAATATAATGATAATGCAGATGGATTATGTTTTTCAATGGGAGAAGAATGTATACAATGTAATTATTGGAATGATAAAGAAATGATTGAAAATGGAATTAATTCATTAAATGAATATAAATGTACAAAATGTAATTCTATATTTATACCTTGTTTATTAATACAATATGATAATGATAATATTAAAGATAATTTAATAATAGAAAATGAATATAAAATTAAATTCATGTCTAGAGATTTTATTTTAACAGAAATGAAATTATTTAAAAAATTAACATCAAAATTAATTTATGAAAAGAATTTAAATTTATTTTATAATTTACTTTATCATTTTGGAAGTATTAATGAAGGTATTAATTTCTATCAATCTAATAAGAAGAAACAAAGTAAAAAACAATCATCAACAAATACTAAACAAGTAGTTAATAGTAGTAGTATCAGTAGTACTGGTAGTAGTAATACTATTTCTGAACCATTATCTAATAGTACTAACACTGGTAAACAATCATCATCATCAACAAGTAAATCATCTGAACAATCACCTTCTTCTTCATCAAAAAGTAAACAATCTAATAAGGAATCAAAAAAGAAAAGTGAATCTACATCTCCAAGTAATGAAAAAACATCTAAAAAGAAAAAAACAACAAGTATTGTAAAAGGACAAAAGAGTTTATTTGATTTTATCAAGTAATTTTTGAATGATCAGTTTTAACCAAACATTTAACATGTGATTTGCAGGTAGGAGAATTGAGAACTGTTTCAAGGCAGGTTATACCAGATTGAATTGGTGGTAGCTTATCAATATAAGGTTACGCAATACTTTAAAGATGTAAAATGTAATTTCAAGAATTTAGAAATAAAAGTTGCGACCTTGTTTGTCTATATTCCAAAAAGGATTCATCTTTCTTCAATCACAACTTTTAGCCAATCAAAGAATCTTATCCTCAATAATAATTAGTCCAAACCAGTTTATTTGAATTTAT